GTAGCTCACTTACATGTATAGACAACAAATATAAAAATTTTAATACCATACCTTCTGTGTATCAAATCCATTCCTGTATTATAATACAGACTTAATGTTCCTGGCACATGGAATAGGACTAATGTCTCAAATGATATCAGATAAAAATCTCTACATAAGAGTAAAGAAATGTGCTACCCAAAGAACACCAGCATAGACAATGAAATCCTCTGCGTAAAATCTATGTCCTATAAGCCTACAAGAGGTAGAATAAACCAATAATTCCTCTGTACAAATTCTATCAAGATTAAATCACATAAATGCATATTAAAGCTTTATTAGAATAAAATATGTTGTTCTGACAAATAATAAGCAACAATATGAAATCTTGAAACCACAAGTGAACTGCCAAGTATTCCTTGTTTTCTCAAAAACAGTTGGTGTTTCACTGCAACTAACAACAAAAATATACTAAGGTTATCCTAATATAGTCTTTCAATAATATCTAGAAAACATTTTTCATATCCCTGTCCTAAATCTACTTCACTGAATACAAGTGATCAGAAATAGGGACTTCCCTGGTGGCGCAGTGGTTGAGAATCCACATGCCAATGCAGGGGACACGGGTTCGAGCCCTGGTCTGGGAAGATCCCACATGCTGCGGAGCAACTAGGCCCGTGAGCCACAACTACTGAGCCTGCGCGTCTGGAGCCTGCGCTCCGCAACAAGAGAGGCCGCGATAGTGAGAGGCCCGCGCACTGCGATGAAGAGTGGCCCCCGCTTGCCACAACTAGAGAAAGCCCTCGCACAGAAACGAAGACCCAATACAGCAAAAATAAATAAATAAATAACTCCTACCCTCAACATCTTCAAAAAAAAAACATAAACTCCTATAAATGGAATAAAAATCTGGTTTTTAACTAAGACACTGGTGGTTCCTCCCCTCCCTCAAACAGTGTTGCTTTTATTATACTGCAGTACCACCAAGTGGCAGAAGGATACACTGCAACTCTAGCACTGCTAGTTGAATACTTCATCACTCAAAAATGGCAACTACTATGGATTGAACCCTCCAAGATTCTTACGTTGAAGACCTAACCCCCAATATGACTGTATTTGGAGATAGGGCCTCTGAGGAGGTGTCACAGGTTAAATGAGGTCATATGGGTGGGGCTCTAATCCAACAGGGCTAGTGCCCTTATGAAAAACAGGAGATGCTAGCACACTAGCTCTCGGGGCACTCACACAGGCACCTGGCAAAGGTCACATGAGCATGCAGAGAAAAGGCAGCCAACTGCAAGCCAGGATCAGAGTCCTCACCAAGAAGTCAATCAGCAGGCAGCTTGATCTTAGACTTCCCAGCCTCCAGAGAAGTAGAAAATAAATTTCTATTGTTTAAGCCACCCAGTCTGTGGTATTTTGTTATGGCAGCCTGAGTGGACTAATACAGCAATGCTCCACCTTAGTCCCAAAACTTTTCTCTTTACGAAAAAAGTATTCACTTAAAAATCAGGAATAAAAGTCAAAAGACTTGACTTTAAAACTTCTAGCCTCAAAATTTACAGAAATTAAAGTTAAATCTTCTTTGACAAGTTCTTTTATCAGCTAAAAGAGACTATTATTTAGATCAGAAAGGTTAGAAGTTAGGATTAATTCTTATTATCAAAGGGAACATTTTTTTCCCTGAAATTAAAGGACTGTGGTTCCTAAGTATGCTTGTGCTTTCCTCAGAGCAAGACAAAAACTCTAAAACAGGGGGAAAAAATTCATATTGATCCAACAGAAAGGTAAATGTTATTAGGAAATAGATAGAGGTACTTAAAAATCACAAATTCCTTCTGTTTTCATCTGTTTAGAAATTCTCACCCATTTATAAATATTCCTTAACTGCCTATATAGCAGTCAAGAACATCAACTCCAGAACCCAAATACCTAAATATCTCTGTTTTGCTGCTTACTGTAAGACCGTGAGCATGTTACTAAACTGCTCTGTTTCAGTTACCCCCACCTGTAAAATGGAGATAACAATTTCCCATAATGGTTGTATCTTTCCCCACAGGATTCTCTTTAGATCCTACAATCCACACTCCATTCTCCCACTTCCCATCGCCCCAAGAATAAATTTTATTTACTTTCTTACAAATTACAATGATGCACAGTCATTACTGAAATCAGCATCACATAGATAGGACAACTTTTTATCTTAGTATCCCAGAGCAGAGAACAAACAAGATAAACCAAAGTGAAAACTGTCTCAGTTCACAGGTTAACTTACTTTTTTACCCTGAATATCCTATTTCTGCATCATCCTGACTCTTTATAATACAGTGCATAAAACTCATCAGAGGGAGGTTTCCAGCACTCCTGGGTCTAGGGTCATTCTTCAGTTTTTCCAAGGTTAGGTATTTGATTCCTCCAAGAAGATCCAATTCCAGAGACAGCTCATTTCACACAATTTAGCCTAAATTTCTGTTATTCCAGTTATTATCTTTTCTGGACTTGGACAACTATCTCACTACTGTAGGACTAGTCTAACTCCATGTTTAAGATCTACAGATCAATTCCTCTAAGTAGGATGCTATGGTTCCCATTTTGTCCTTCCTTATAAGCAAGATGACTACAAAAATTGAAGGTATAAAAAGGGAAGACTTTACAAGTACTGTACATCTCCTGCCATATACAGAAAAGAAAGGAAAAGCTCTTAGAGGATGTGGCAATTTCTTACCTGCTTCCTAAATAGCTTTCGATTTTAAAGGGTGGGCATAAACCTTCACCTACTTGTACAGAAAAAGCTTTGTCTATACGCTGTTGCAAATACTTGCTTAGATAAGTTGTTCCATACTCAATTTAAAATGCAGCATTTTCAATCATTTTTAAAATCTTACTCCAGGGCTTCCCTGGTGGCGCAGTGGTTGAGAGTCCGCCTGCCGATGCAGGGGACGCAGGTTCGTACCCCGGTCCGGGAGGATCCCACATGCCGCGAAGCAGCTGGGCCCATGAGCCATGGCCACTGAGCCTGCGTGTCCGGAGCCTGTGCTCCACAACGGGAGAGGCCACAACAGTGAGAGGCCCGCGTACCACAAAAAAACACAAAAAACAACAACAACAAATCTTACTCCAAAGAAAATAACTACTAATAGTTTTTCTACAGCAAATAACCACTAGTGGTTTATAAGAATTTTAACTATTATCCCTCACTAATAATTATACCCAAACTTAAATGAGGCAGTGAACACTGCCACAGGAAAACAATGAGTCAAAAAATAAATAAGGCAAGAGACCCAAATAAAATATGTCACAAAATACATACTGCCATCTCAAAATTCAATCACCACCAGCTTAGATTCTAAAGATATCACTTCTAGTTATGAAGATCTTGTTTCTAGCTATATCTGGGACTTCCCTGGTGCTGCAGTGGTAAAGAATACGCCTTCCAATGCAGGGTACACGGGTTCAATCCCTGGTTGGGGAACTAAGATCCCACATGCCGCAGGGAAACTAAGCCTGCGTGCCACAACCACTGAGCCCAGGCACCTCAACTAGAGAGCCCACACACCACAACTAGAGAAGAGAAAACCTGCACACCATAACTAGAGAGAAGCCAGCACACAACAAAAAAAAAGATCACACATGCCTCAATGAAGATCCTGCGTGCCGCAACTAAGACCCAACGCAGGCAAAAAAATAATTTAAAAACATTTTATGTCTTACAGAGACTTGCCCAAAGTCTCTAGGCTATTGAACAACATATACTAAAACTATACTAGAACAAAAACCTTTCAACTTCTAGGCCAGTTCTCTTTCCATTTTATCATACTTCCTCATAGCTCAACTTCTCAAATGTCAAGGACAAGGTGTAATGTTATAAATGATTAGGAACTAATAAATAAGAATACAGTATACAATATATCACAAGGTACTATACAGTTAAGGCCAAGCGAATGATAAAGACAGCAATTGCTATTAAAGTTCAGATTACTGTGGGCTACAGCTGACTGGTTACATTTTAAAATAAACAGAATTTAGGGACTTCCCTGGTGGCACAGCGGTTAAGACTCCGTGCTCTCCATGCAGGGGGCCTGGGTTCTACCCCTGGTCAGGGAACTAGATCCCACATGCAATCCGCAACTGAGAGTTCGCATGCCACAACCAAGGAGCCCAAGTGACACAACTAAGGAGCTGGCAAGCCACAACTAAGGAGCCTGCCAGCCACAACTAAGACCCGGCACAACCAAATAAATAAATAAATTTTTTTAAAAAAAACAATTTAAAGAAGAATGAACTTCCTTATTTTACAAATAAAGAAACTCAGGCCCTGTATATAGAGCTAGTTGGTGGCAGTCCTTTAGGGAAAAAGAGTAATTTGAGCTGGGTCTAGAAAGATACCTAGATAAGATTTGAATAGGCAGGAAGAAGACAGAACTTTCCAGGTAGGGAAATCACATATGCAAAAGCCTAGAGGCTGAAACAAATCAATCAAATTCAGAGACCAAAGAATTCATTCTTTTGACTAAGAATAAAGAAAAATAAATTTAGGAATGGCTAAGTTTTGTGTTGGGGGTAGGGGAGGGAGTTTCAATACTTAATTAAACTTGATCCTACAGGCAGTGGGAGGAAGCTAGAGTGGGTTTTGAGCAACAAACATAAATTTCTTAGAAAAGCCCAAATTATGCATTTGTCTGGAAGCCAAGAATATAAACATAAAACAAAGGTTATAATAGCCAAAATATTTAACCAATAACAAATCCAATTCTAAAAGGAAAGGTGGAGAAGATATCTAAAAAAAAAGTTAAATAATAGAATAAAAAATGAACAATGAAAGAAAATGGAAACAAATGAGAGAAGAATAAATGATAGATGTGGACAAATGAATCAACAGTTACATTATAAAAGATGTTACTTCATGCAGTCAAGTTCTGGAAAGAGGATTAAATGATCCAAACAAGTTAGTCTCCATGGCTAAAAAAACACACTCAAAGCATAACCACCAAATGTTACTGTTTCAAACTGCAATAACTCACCTCTCTAGCAGCACAATCATGAGGAGCTTCTTCTTTATTTACTTTTCCTTTTGGAAATCCCCAGCCTGATTTTGCTAGGTACCCCTGAACCAGTAATACCTACAAAACAATCAGAGGTAAAAATAAAACTTGCCCTCCTTTCCCATGTTCCTTTCTAAAAGCCAAAAGTGCTTTTCTCCTTACTTCAGGTAACTGTTATCACCAATAATTTTATTTGGTTGACTATCTTTCAGGAAGCTAAATATACTATTACTTTTCCTGTAAAGAAAGGTATTCTGTCCATTTTAAAGTATTTCTTCAAAAATCAAATGATTCCTTTGCAATAAGTCATGCTGCAACAAGTATAAATTATTAAGACCCAGAATGCAGATGAAATATACAAAATCTGGCCTTTTATCACTAAAAATCTAAGTATACTTTTCAAACCTCAGTTCAGAACATTATAAAAACAACATATTAGGATGAAAACAGCTGATCACCATTTCACTAAAAATCTTTTATTACTCTCACTCACATTTTCAAGTGTCTCATCAAGAATAATTGCACCATATGTTGGCACTCCCATTTTATATTCTTTCCATTCATCCAAAATTTTTTCCACATCTTCACCTTGAGGCAGCAAAAATGGACAATGACTGAAGAGTATACATTGTGTTAAGGAAGCTACTTTCTCCCTTAATACAGCTTAAGCACTTATACACATAAAGAGATCTATTTAAATCAACTGTGTATTTTACATGAAATTACTCGTATCTTCACCTCACTTAAGTTTATCCTTCTTGCTTTTGTCTTTTCACATTTGTTTTCTCTTGAACAAGCCATTGCTAACTTCTGCATTTAGCCTAGACACAAATCAAGTAAATTGTGAATACTCAAATACTCTAGCTCCCTAAGTTAACACAAATAAATTCAGGACCATGTGAACACTTCGAATAATTCTTGTTAAGTGGGTCGAATTCATCATATTAAGAGTCAACAGATACTGAAACTGACATCAAGAAATATAAGCACAGTACACATATACTGGTAAGAGCTAGGAACCATCAGAATAAGTGAAAGTGGGAATTCCCTGGTGGTCCAGTGGTTAGGACTCCGCACTTCCTGTGCAGGGAGCAGAGGATCAACCCCTGGTCGGGAACTAAGATCCCACAAGCCTTAAGGCCAAAAAAATAAATAAATAAATAAAAAGAGTAAGTGGAAGTGGCTAACTCTGGGAAGCAGAACTAGGGATGACATATTACACTGCCGAATTTCTTTACCATGTACATATATTGCTTCCATAATTTAAAACATTTTTAAGATGAAGATTTATTAAGGATTATAGAGAAAGGTAAATATGGGTTTTAAGGAAAGTATGGCCTGTTTCAAAAGAAACTGGGTATGCCTCCCCAAAACTGGGCTGAGTAAAGTAAGTTTTTTTTTTAAAGTAAATAAAACCTAAACCTGTAAAGTATATGCTCAGGCTTCCAATACTCCATGCTACCAAATGCCTCATCACTACAGCACTGTTTATTATGAAAACTGTGGGGAAAATTATAATTTATGATAGCGTTTCTCAAATGGAGGACATTCTCAAGGGTCTTCAAGTCCTCTATGAAAACTTACATATTCTGTCTTTTCATTTTTATGTTAATGTAAAGGCATGTAATATGAGCATACTTTCAATCATTTGGATGATCTCATCCATCAAGTACTACACTACTTGATTTTAGAGACCATATTGGCACTAGTACTTTAACTGCTGTGGGCTACTAAAAACAGAAAAAAAGTAATACGCAAATAGTGTATTAGGGTCAAATGATATTCCATTGTAACACAGAAAGGAAGGTGTCATAACACATAAAGAAAGGTTCTGGGAAAACTTGTAGTACAGGCACATCAAAACACCCTTAAAGACAGCATTATATTCACATTGTGACTAGTAGTTTGGTTTAAACAAAAACATCACATTAAATTCACTTTATGAAAACAAATTTTATGAGTTTTACAGCTTTGTGTTTAAAATTTTGCTTTGGTTTTATAGTTGCAGTAAGAACTAAGGTTCTCAAAGAGCTCAAAAAAGTCAACCATCTATAACAACACTGTAATTAAAAGACAGGCAGTAGATTAATCTCAATATAAACACTCCTTGCCTTTATTTAGGGAGGGGGGAAAAAAGAATAAATTATGGATATAATACTAACTATTCCATGAAGCCCTATGGTTCTACAAGAGCTTGCTAGAATTCTGGAAGCTATTTCTCAATAAAAGTCTGGCTTGAGATGTTCAGTAAAATCCCTTATGTGTTTTAAAGTCACCACAGATTTTTTTGAATCTAGTTATAAATTTAAAATAAATGGATATTTTTTCCATTAAAAATTTAACCATAGTGAAAAAAACATATGAATATACCCCAGGAATATAGGTAACTTCCAATAATTCAAAGAGGAAGACACTTATCTAGTTTTTTTTCTTTCTCTTCCTTCTCCCTACAATGTTCCTCATAACTTCAAGGTGCATCAACGTCTCTCTAATGAAGTGTTATCTCATTTTTCTACCCATTAAACAACTTCTTTAAAAAGAATAACAAAAACAAAGGTTTAGCAAAAGAAATTAAATCAACTGACATAACCTTGGAAATTATCTATACTCTTCATTTACCTACTTTTTTTCCTATCCCCAAATCACCATAAAATGAGTGAGTTGATAAACCAACCAACTACAGTTCAAGATACACTTGGAATTAATGTTGAAAAGTACTTGCTCAAGTCCACACAATTAGCAAATAACAGAACCCAATCCAAAATGACATCAATTTCCCCAATGACAACTCTTCAATCCTCTTCCATATTCAGGAGTACATAAAGTAATTCAAACAAGGGAGTGGAAAGTTTTTGAATACCATTTTTATTTAATGAGACAATGTATTTAATTTAAAAAACCCTATGACATGCTCTGAGTAATGTTAATTATCTTTCTAATTTTTACTAAAAGCACTACTTGGCTACTATTTTGCGTCTTGAATCTGGGTTACTGGGCCCTACACAATAGTTCTAAGAGAAAGAAGATCACATTGATTACATGAAGAATGTAAGAAATTTTAAGCACATATATCTACTTGTATTACATATATCCTCTTTCTTTTTTAACAATTCAGTGATTTTTTAATATACTCTTTTTATTCTAACATTTTTGCAAAAACATGAAAAATCTGCTCTAACGATAGACAATCATTTAGATGATAATCTCCATCCTTCCATTATCATAGACGATATCGATCTCCCCAAGAACAACTCATCTCACGCTCCAGGCTCAGTTCCTTGTATTCCTTGTACTTTACATCCATGCCCACTTCTGGGACCAATTCCCACAGGAACATTCTGGACCTTGCCATCAATAGAACTATTATAGTACTTTGATTAGAATAAAACATTGTGACCACAATTTTCTACGGCAGTCTTCTAATTACTCACAATATACTGTTATTCTACATCTATTTTTGACTGTCTTCCTTTCTCCATATTAGCACCCTCCTGCTTTTATTTCCTTCCCTAAACAATATGGTCCATCACTTTAATCAATGTCTTAGCAATATCCAAAATTTCTTTGCCCCACTATTCTGAATACAGCTCCCTAGTAAAACCTCAACCCAGCGTCAAGTCCAGGACAGCCATTCTGTACCCACTGCTGAGTGCTTACTGAAGAAAAATCACAAGACCATGCAAAATTAACAAAAGAGAAAACAGAGGCACAGAAAAGCCCCACTATTTGCCCAAGGTTGCACAGCTGGTAAATGGCAAAGGTGGGATGGCAACCCAAGTAATCTGGCTCCAGAGCTCATACTATTAACTTTTATTCTACATAGTCTCACCACTTCAATATCCCACAGGTATCACAAACCAACATGTCCATAACTGAGCCCATCATTCCCCACAAAATTTCTCCTCCATTATTTTTCTACAAATGGAATGGCACACCCATCCACTCAATTGTTCAAATCAGAAACCTGGATACCATCCTCGATTCCTTCTTCCACCTTTCCTCAAACATCCAAGTTAAGACAAATTTTACTCCTAAATACCACTGAAATTTAATCTTTTCTATCCACTTCTATCACAGGTTTCCATTTCTCAATCATAAATTAATGAAATAGCATCTTAACTAGGTTTCCAACCTCATGTTCCTCCAATTCACTGCCTACACTATTTCAGAGCTTCTTTCAAAACACCCCTAGAGAAATAAAGCAAATATGGCAAAAAGCTAACAATGGGTGAATACATAAAAAGGGTATAATGGCAGTTGATTGTAATATACTTAAGTTAAAATTACTGTAAGTTAAAATTTTTTCCCAAAAGTAAAGTTGTTTTTTTTTTAAATCTCCTATATTCTTTTATTACTCTTATGGATAAAGTCCAAACAAACATGGCCTACAAGACCCTTCCTCCAAAGAAAACTTTTATCTAATTCCAAATCTGGGTTGGATTAGTCTCTTCGCTATTCCTACTGAACCCTATGCTACCTTATCAAAACCTAACAGACTGCAATGTAATCATGTCCCTTTCTGTCTGTAATCTTCTTGAAGACAGCAACCAAATCTACCTTGTTCACTGCACAACGCCTGGCACAGAGGAAGCACTCAATTATTGAATGAAGTCTACCACACTAGCAATAAAAGTTTTTTCCTCCATATAAATGAATTAAAAGAAACTTAACTAGAACAGAGGCTTTTTTTTTTAATAACAAGGAAAGTTTTTAAAACTCATGTGCATACACACACAAAATCTTACCCAGAACCCCGAAGTATGTATAGTTGCTCTGGTAGAACCCTAAGTCTATGAAAACAGACCAAAACCGCAGAAGACAACTTTCCTGTTTTAATCATGTTTATAGCTCCTTAAAAGCAAAGTCTTCTATGATTTCTTCATAAAACCTGCTACCGAGACTTTAACAAAGACAGTGCTCAGTGGTACTTCTATTCCCCTTTGATTTTTTCATTTACTTCTCCATATTTAATCTGTCAAACAGCTTGAGCATTTCTGCCACTGAAATTTGTCTCTTCTGTCTTTTCTTTGTAGTCCCTCTACTATGGTTCAGGACCTTACTGCTCCATATCTCAAGTATTTAACAGTCCTTGTGGTTCAACCTGTCCTGCCAAGTAAGTTTTTTTGAATACCATTTTCAAATGGTCTGAGTAATATTCTTAACTTAGCCTTGCTCAAAAACTTTCAATGGTTAACAGTAATGCAGAATAAACAGAGTTTCATCCATTTTCTACAGAGCCCTAAGGGGTTCCTTATTTCATACAGCTCAAGAAAAAGCACAGGGAGCTGAGTATGAGGGTTATTTTAGGTCACCTATCCCTACTCCAACTCTACTCCAACTAGCATAGTACAGTGAACTTGCGGGTACAATTGCATCTGAGCACATGATTTATGGTTAAAAACAATGACCTAGAGAATAAAAATCAAAGCAGTTTGGCTCAGGATTTAAAACCCCACAAATTCCCCCTATACAACTTCCATCCATACCCCCTCTTGTATCCCTGTAAGAAACTCAATGCAAAACAATTTACTTCCCAAAATATCTCTTATCCTTTCCAACTCTCCAATTTTGCTCAGTCCCTTTTCTTTACCTGCAACATATTCCCCACTCCAGCCTGTTTAGAAAATTCTATATTCCCTTAAAAATATAGCTTTGCCTAAAATCTTTCCACCTTTTGCCAAATTCTAAAAACACTTAGTATAAGAAACATTAGCAATTCATCAATTTTTTTTGCCTTGTGACATAGCTTCTTTTATAATCTTAAATATTCATGTCAATCTTATAATTAATAAATGATGAAAAGTTTCTATTTTATTTGTAAATAGGGAGGAACAAAAGTTTCTCTAAAGGCAAGGACTTCTTTGAATTTGCCATAGACCCAAAAACTGCTTTGAAAACAGCAAGTACTCAATAATTATTTAAGAATTTCTATCCCAGAAAGGTAGTAATCTGAATAAAGATCATCCAGTTAAGTGCAAAAGCAAGGGAAATGTAAAAAACAGATCAGTTCTAGAAATAGGCTAGCTACATATGGAAAAAAAAGAAAATCAAATTTAATTCTAATGAACACTGCACATTTTAGGGGGTCCTCCACATAAAAATAAGAATACAGTTGGCCCCCCAGTATCCAGATGTAGGACCCGCAGATACCGAGGGCTGACCATACTTTGCCATTTTACAGTCTAAGGAACTTGAGCATCCATGGATTTTCGTATCCTGCGGGAAGGGGGGTGGTCCTGGAACCATCCCCATAAACCAAGGTACAACTGTACTATCAAACTGTGCCTACCATAATCAGGCACAAACCATATATATATGTTTTACATTTTTGACAATTTTTAGAAATCAAGTATGTTTTATCTAAAAGGTTATAAATCTCAACGACAAGCAAAAGAAAATTTGTGCTAAAATACCTTATTAATAAGAATGAAAGACATTCATTATAGTAATAAAAAGGATATCAGCTTTAGCAAAGTCTCTTATCCCACACTGAGGTAATCCTGGTGTGTTCTGCATGTAGAAATCCAAGTAAAACCAATGGGCAAGTTCAATCTGAAAACACACTCGGATAGCATTGTCTCTTTCCTCGCTGGGAATATGCAAAATAAATCGGCTGTCAAAAACAAAAAACATACAAAAATTACATTTACAAACCATAACAATTTATTTTAACCTTTTTAATTGCTTCACTCCTGACCCACCAACATAGAAAAGGGACCCAGAGCAGTACTGATCAAGGAAGCAAAACTGGCAGGAAATTACTACAGGGAAGATGAGTCTTTAAAAAAAATAATAAATAAGAGATATCACATATATCTCATTCATAACAGAATTTTTTTAAGAGGCCATCTACCCTCTGTTCACAAGTACAGAGATAAACTTAAGAGCTCTCTAACAATAAATTAAAGGTGAGCAAGAAAACAAACTTCACTAGGATTCCCTCCCATGCCTGGTAACATTTTCAAAGAATATATGCAAATATATTCATATACTCAAATAGAAAAGATGTTAGCTGCTTAATCTTCATATTTAAAGTATTACAAAAAAAATTAAAGAAATCATTAATAGACCAGATTTCCCAAAAAGCTCATCTGAAGAACCTGAGTTCAAAATAACTTTCAAATACACTCACTTTTAAAAAAACCTAAATTGTCTTTTCCAAGTACATTCAGAGGGAGGAAGGGACATTTATTTTAATACGTAGTATAAGTGTGCACTATATTAAATACACATATGTATATATATGATTAAGATAATTAACCCCTTTTTTATGCAACAAGTCAAAATTTATGTGATCTACAGGACTCATTAAGCAACCACCATTAAAGCTTCTTCCACGCTTAGCATTTTTGTAATCTTTTTTTCTAGCGACCTTTAGAGATAGACTGAACTACATAAAAGAAATCCACTGGTTTTTAGAGTCATTTTCTAAAATTAAAAATAGCATCACCCAGTCTGATCACTTACACTATTCACTAGCTGTGGTGCTAAATGTTCTTTGTTGTTTTCAAGTTTCAAATCAAACCTCAAAAAAAAAATGCTTTTAAATTATAAAAATAATGTAGCATTCCAATAGGGGATTGAATAAGTAAATGTTAAGACAAATGTATGTACAATAATCTACAATTCAATATAGAAAAACAATGGGGAAAGGAGCTTAAAACTGCATCTACACTAAAACCAAGACATGTAACATGCAACATTAATGGCATAATGTAAGATATAAAAATCTGAGCTCTTCCATACGGCATTCAAGATCCAGTGCCTGCTCACCTGCACAGCCTCTATCACTCTGTAAGGTTCTTTATACCCAGTGATACCTAATTCTTAGTAATGTCCTAAATTGCCATCCATATACTATATGTATTCCCTTCTCTTGTCCATCTAGCAAACTTATAACTCATCCCTCATGACTTAACACTGTATCTCCTATATAGGTATATCAGACTCCTCTGAACAGATTTATAAACTCTTTCAACTCCTCCATTATAGTAATTATCTAATTTTTACTATTACTGTCTATAAACTCTTCCAAATTACTTCACTGAGATCTTTGTATACTTTTATTCCCATAGTCTAGCAAATTGTCTCATATACTTACAGTGACATACTGATAGTTACAATTTATCTTTGAAAGGTAAGATGGAGTAAGCACCCTCCACTCTGTCCTTCCCATAAAACGTATAAAACCTGGACAAAATACATGGAGCAGCTGTTTGAGGACTATGAAAAGTAAACAGCAGGAGAAAGATTGGGGAAGATGACAAATATTCAAATTTACCATTTTTCACCCTCCAATATCCCCTAGCTGGATTGGGGGTTAGAAGTGACCTCCAAAAGCCCTCAAGGATCAAGAAAGGAATCTGTTAACACTCAGAGACAGTTAGGGGAAATTTCTCCTCTCTTTTCTCCATTCTCTCATGCCCCAGAGCCCAAGCAATGCCACACTGGTTAGACTTGGCAGCAACAGTGGCTGTAACAGGGATCCACAGAGACTAAAACTTTGATGGACGGGAACCTTCCTCTCCGATAGCAAGAGGTGGGAGGTCCCAAGAGATTAGAGCCAACATCCATTGCTTATTTTACTTCTAACCTCCAGCTGCTTGGTCCCAGGCATGAGCAGAGTCACATGAAATGTGTGGTAGAGCATCTTTCCATTTTTGCCATTTTTCAATATTCAATTTCCTCAAAAAGGGGAGCCAAGAAGTACCAGGGGGATAGCAGAAAAGGAGCAGCTCAGGAAAATGGTCCCACGAAATTGTTTATGAACTCTGAGGCTCAACCCCAAACTGCACAAACTTGGATTAGAATACAAACAGCATACCACACACTTTGTGAGCTGAACGACGTATGAGACAGACCACTGCCCAAGTCTCAGACTAGCCAGTAGACGATACACAAAGACAAAAAGCACTGCAAAAACTAGCCTTCTTTTATCTGATTTTATTTAACTTACACCAAGTCTCAAAAAAAACACCTGTCTGCTATATCTTATTTTCTCAGTTTGGGACATTTTCTATTGATTTCCATTATGGAAGTTGAAGAATTAACTCCAGTCCTCCCACTCTCATTCTACACACCATTCTCATCTCTACATCTTCCGAACAAAATGGTATCTTAGTTTGGTTAGTGTGTTAACTACAGCACTATTGACACCTGGAACTGATAATTGTATGTTGAGAGCAGCTGTCCTGTGTGCTGTAGGTGTTTAGCACCATCCGTAGCCTCTGCTTATTAGATGTCAATAGCACTCTCCAGTAAAGCTGTGACAACCAAAAAGATCTCCAGACACTGCCAAAGTTCCCTGAGGGGAGCAAAATCACTCGCAGTTGATAACCGCCGGGTTAGATCAAAAATTCAGTCTTGAGCTTCCCTGGTGGCGCAGTGGTTGAGAATCCGCCTGCCGATGCAGGGGACACGGGTTCGTGCCCCGGTCTGGGAGGATCCCACATGCCGCAGAGCGGCTGGGCCTGTGAGCCATGGCTGCTGAGCCTGCGCGTCCGGAGCCTGTGCTCCGCAACGGGAGAGGCCACAACAGTGAGAGGCCCGCGTACCGCAAAAAAAAGAAAAAAAAGAAAAATTCAGTCTTTACATTACTATGACTCTGCAAACTTAATTCAAGACTAAGCCATGTGACAAGCTACGATTGTTTTCCCTTTAAAGCACAACCTTTTATTCTCCCACTAATTAATAAATGTCTTATTGTCTTTGCTTTGTTTTCTCTATACTTGTCACTAACTCAATCTTCCACTAGTTTCCTAAATTTTTTTTCTCAAGATGTTAATTCAGACACATCCATTTCATCTTGAAGACTATCCCTGAGCCTTCTGATCTGTTCCAGTCTGGAGTGGTTGTCACTTCACATAACACACATCTGTCATTCTATGCTATCCTTTCACTAGCATCCTATAGTTCCCAATGCCTCCATCCTGTATTTTTTTTTTATAAATTTATTTTATTTATTTATTTTTGGCTACACTGGGTCTTCGTTGCTGTGCACAGGCTTTCTCTAGTTGCAGCAAGCAGGGGCTACTCTTTGTTGCGGTGTGCTGTCTTCTCATTGCGGTGGCTTCTCTTGCGTGCAGAGCACGGGCTCTAGGTGCGCAGGCTTCAGTAGTTGTGGCACGCTGACTCAGTAGTTGTGGCACACGGGCTTAGTTGCTCCACGGCATGTGAGTTCTTCCCCGGACCAGGGCTCGATCCTGTGTCCCCTGCATTGGCAGGTGGATTCTTAACCACTGTGCCACCAGGGAAGCCCCATCCTGTATTTAGATCTATTTCTTATATCCTGTCTTCCTCCTAATTAATGTACTTCCTATTTTTACGAAGTACATCCTCCCATGCCTTCTGGAAAAAGGATGCAGGGGAGATTAATATTAAGACATGGTGAATTTGAGAATATTTTTATCCTCACTCTTGACACTTTGGCTAGGTAAAGAATTCCAGGTTGGAAATCATTTTCCTTCAGAATCCTGAAGACAGTGCCCACTCCTGCCAGCCTATAATTTTGATGTGAAGACTGAAGCCACTCAGATTCCTTTGCCCAACCTGTTTTTTCAGACTGGAAGCTTCCAGGTTCTTCCTTCTATCCTCAATGTTCTGAAATTTCCCAGTTGTCTATTATTCATCCACTGATTCACCCATTCAATGGACTTTACCTATTTAGAAACTCATCTCCTTCAGTACTAAAGGACCTCATGGACTGATCCTTTGATTCTTCACTTTTCTCTGATATTTCCTATCTCTAATTTCTCAAGCCCCCTTACTTTTGGGAAACAGTCTCTTGCAAGCCATCTATTGAGGTTTTTGTTTCTACTCTCATATTTAAAATTCCAAAGGCTATTTTTGTTTAAACTATGCTTTCACAGATAATTCTGTTATTCCATGACTGTAAAAACCTATCTAAGGAGATCAATGTAGTTTTGAGGGGGTTTTTTGTTTTAAAGTTTTCTTCTATCTACATAGTTTGATTCTTTTCAGTTGCTTTTTTGTTGTTGTTAGTTTTATGCTCTACTTTTTGTGTTAAGAGGCCTATTTCAGATGTTCGTATTTAATGTGATAGACCACAAAGCTAATTAGGAAGGTTGTCAAACTATGAGGCACCACTTAAGGTGATCAGGCTGAGCCATTTAATCAAGGAACCTCCAATGTTAGTATCTTTAGGTGTTTCCTCGTGGGCTAGTCTGATCATCTAGACAAGAACCTTCCAATCTCCTATCTGGAGGATAAAGCCCAGGCTGCCACATTCTGGGAGCTGAGCAGGGGAAGAAGGATGGTTTTCAATATGTATACAGGATGCATAAACTCACTTCTGCCACTTTTCAACATTCTCTAATTCTGAAGTAGGCTGACTACTACAGTAGTCTTTCACTCTATCAGGTCTGCGAAGTCATATGCCACTTTCCCTTCTGCTGTACGGTTTCCAAGTTTTGTTGCTCATCTCTTCACCCAATCTTCCTTTACTTGTGGGTTATGCATTTAAAATTGTCAAACTTTACTCTTTTTGTGGAGTAGATGTTTGTGTTCAGTCTACTATCTTTAACTAGAAATTTGCATTTCAGACTTCCCTGGTGGTGCAGTGGTTAAGAATCCACCTGCCAATGCAGGGGACAC